CCCCGCCGCCAGGGGGCGCAGCGTCCCGTCCCCGGCCGTTCCACGGCGCGGCTCACGGTTCCCGCTGCCCGGGAGCTGGAGGCGGGCCGGCGCCTTGGGTGTGCACCCTTGTCTGGCGCGAGGCCTTCCCTGCGGGCCGCAAACCTGGAGCCTGGGGCGTTTGCTTGCTCCTCGTGACTGTACTTTCTTTCTTTTAATTATAAACGAGATTTCCCACGAAGACTTTACCCTTGCCTTATCAGTGAATTGTACTGCAACGCTTTTGCGGGCCCTGTGATGAGGCACACAGAAATTTTTATAAGGTGTTTTTACAGAGGTAAGACTTATTGCTCAGGTGGCCTATCTAGAAAGAATTTTGCACTCAAAGGCTATTCAGAGTGCGGGACTAGTCCAAGCACTTCAGAATCGAAAACGTTCAACCCCTTTCCTAAAGTAACTTGAATGTTAACTGTTAAGCCATGTGCCATAGGGCAACTCAGGGAGTGCCCAAGAGCCACTGACCCTCCTCCTGCCCCTCCCACCAGTTTTATTTTTCTAGCCATCCATCCCTTGGTTTCATGTTTAATGTCACCTTAGGAAATGAATTCAATCGTTTGTGGAAAAAACCCATTATCTCTTTATTTCATTTTTCCATAAACCTTCTGAAGGTCGTTCCCCACCCCACGGCTACTTTCCTCAACATGGAGATTTGGACAAGATTTTGTATTTTTTTCACAGTTTAGCATTTCCAGGAACAAAACCCACTATCATACATGGTAAAACCAAAAACCAAGCCCTCTGCCATCCAGTCACTGCTGACTCAAAGCCACCCTATAGGCTAGAATAAAACGGCTTTATAGGGTTTCCGAGCCTACAAAGTCTTTATGAAAACAGACTGCCTCATCTTTCACCTCCCGGAGTGCCTGGTAGGCTTGAACTCAACATCCCCACTTTTTGATTATCAGCCGGGTGCTTAACCATTGCACTACCAGCACTGTACAACATCCTCTTACTGCTGCCTCCCCAAAGAAGATTTCACTATGATAATTTAAAAAATAAAGAATTAAATACTGCAGCTAGCCCTAAATTGATACTTAGGTATTTTGTGAGCATCATCTTGCCCTCACTCTTTAGTTATCCTCTCTAGATTTGACAGTCTTCTTCGGATGTTTTCTTATCTCTGGCCACGTCATGATTTCTGCCCAGAGCTCCTGTGGTTTCTGGAGACTGCAGCCACACGTGACTTGCACATGCAGGGCTAAGAGCTCTCCATGTTGGCACCAGAAACAGGAGACATGAGATACCACTTAGAGTGGTGGTTAATGCCCAGTATGTTTGCCTGTGAATGATTTTTCACACTTAGTGTTTTAGAACTGAGGTTTTCTCAGCAGTTCACTGCGTAGCATGCCCTCTTTTATTTTTTCAAGTTAAGTGTTTTCCCTCCGTTTTTAATCTAACTTGGAAAATATATTTAAAGTCAGCCCTCATGAAAAGATTTTTTTGTTTTCCTTTAATGGCCTCTTATCTAATTTTCAGTTATCTCTGGCTAGTTACATTAGTATTCATAGGGGCATTATTGCTCAACTCAATAAATCATCTATTGGCCTTCTCTTTTATGCTGTTGGTTTGATCAAGTATACTCCAGAACTGTGCCCCAAACTCTAATTAGTTCATGAGATCACAAGACAAAATACTTCAAAAAGAGGAAACTCAGCTTATATCTCCTAGGAAAATTAGTCACCGCTGTCCAGTCAGTCACGTGGGTGTAATGGGAATGTCCCCTCCCTCCTTCTTACCTTGAGCCCTAGTTTCCGGATGCCAGTGTTAAAAGTAGGAGCAGAGTCGGACTCCTCTAAAGAGGAGCATTTTTTGAGGTTAGGGAAAACTTACTGTAGGACCCCTTACCTTAGCTGAGGAAAACAGCGCATTGAAATTGCACTCAGAAAACAGCCTCCAAAGACTAAGATGCCAAATCACAGGAAGGCCGGGTTGTGTGGTTGTACCTCCCCTGCAAACTGAAGGGTGAGGTGGGGTGCTGGATGAACAAGGAAGGCAGCGACAATTACAGCTCTAGAAGAACCCAGAGTAAATTGCCCTGGTTTTGAGAGGACAAGTGTGCTCCAAAATGCATTTGCAGATATGTCTAAAAATAAAAACAAATTGAACATTCCCTGAAAGTCCCATGGGCAGGATGCCATGCCAAGAGGACCTGATTCTGAGAGCCCGAGCCTCCCGGCCGTTTTGTAAACTCAGAGACCCAGTCTCGAAACAACAAGGCATGGGAACATTCTTCCTGTCCTTCAGGAGAGCCCTTTATTTGATTTCACACATTCCCCAGTTTGTCTTTTATTGGAAAAGTTACTAAACTTTTAAGTAAATGAAGCCATTGTATTTAATTCTGCAGTTATTTTTTGACATTCACTGTTAGATATACATTAAAATTTTTTTTTTTTTATAAAAGTGCTTTGTAATGCATTTACTGAGTGCTATATGCCAGGAGCTCTGGTAGCATAGTGGTTATGAATCGGGCTGTAAACCGCAAGGTCAGGAGTTCAAAATCACCAGCTGCTCCGTGGGAGAAAGATGATGCTTTCTGCTCCTGTAAAGATTTACGGCCTCGGAAACCCTGTTCAGGGTCACTATGGGTCGGAACCAACTCGACAGCAATTAACAACATATGCCAGGCACTTTCCCTTTATAATGTTCACAAAATCTCTGTGAGGTTAGATAGATGTGTTCAGTTGTGTTTTATAGGTGTGAGAACCAAGATTTAGGACTTAGATGGACGAGCACATTGCTTAGAGTTACAGATGAAACAAGTAGAACCAGAGGTCTAACCCAGTTCCTTGTGACTGGAGTCACTGGGTGGAGGCAATTGGTAACTTGTTTGGCTGCTAACTGGAAAGTGGTTCCAGCCCACCCAGAAGTGCCTGCTTACAAAAATATGATCTATGTACAAAACCTCAGCCATTGAAAATCCTGTGGAGCATCGTTCTACTCTGACACTTAATGGGGTTGTCCTGAATTGGACAACGACTCAATGACAACTGGTTTTTACTTTGCTTCAGTAGAGAATTATTTTTATTTCCAGGTCAGCGACACTGTTCTATACCTTGACTGTGAAGTCCAGTTTGGCTAATTGTCCAGCTCATGTGGTCTGAGTCTAGCCCCACAGGTGGGCACTCAGCCAAAAGGGAGAAAGAGCGAACCATGCCTCCTCATCCCCCAGTCCCAGTGTTTCTTGGAAGGATGGGACTGTCATACCAGGGGTCTACCCTATGCCTTCCCCTCTTCCTAGCCTTTGTAGATTCTCACAGTGAGCTCTTCTTAGCTATATTTAGTTTTTTACAATTTAAAGACATTTAAAAAATGGGTGTGACCTTTTTTTAAGAAATCATGAAATCAAGTCACATCATGTGGTAGTTGATCATGGAATCAAGTCATGTCAAATGGCAGTTGTGAAAAGGATGGGGTAAGGTTTTGTTATTAAGTGTCACTGAGTCTGTTCCAACTCATAAGGACCCTGTATAGGGTTTCTGAGGAGTGACTGGTGGATTTAAACTGTTGACCTTGCAGTTTAAACTGACTGCGTTGACCAGTGTTTGTTCTATAGTGCCACACCAGATCTCCCAGGCAAGGTTAAAGTCTTATGTTAAACCATTTAAATCTTTGGGTTTGTTTTATTCATAACACCTAAAATCCTCTCTGTTTGTCCTTTTGTAGGTGACTCTTCTCCCTGTTGACTCTAGCTCCAATCACATTTCTTTTCTGGGACTCACAGTCTCAAGGGGAGTTTGCATCACTCAACTTTGGAAACACATCTGGGAGGGAGTGGAAAAGACAAGCCAGTGACCTTCAGTGGCCTTAGGTTTTCCTGACCTACAGCTAGCCCAATGCCTGGCCAAACATTTTTTATTTAGTATAGGGCAGAATCCTGAGTCAGCTGGCTGGGATTTGAACTTCGAGGTTTCAGGAAGCCCAAGTACTTCCCATTTCTGGACCTACTGCTTGTCCTTTATGACTCTGGGCCAGCCGTTAGGGTGACCGATTACCCTCTGCTGTTCTCACAAAAGGCAGAGACACACAGTTCCAGGTCCATCCACTGTAATAGAAAATTACATAGAGAGGTGCCATTCGCCATTCCCAGTGGCCTATGGGCAGCACCTGAGAACTTTATCCTTTGGAAAGTTATGGGGCAGTTAGGGAAGGGACCAATTGCCCTTAGTGGTCAGTGGGCTTTACTAAGGATTCCACACCAGCTGCCTGCTTCCTTACATTGCTCATGGCATCATCTTACATCCTGATTCTTAATGAGAGTTTTCCCAGAGTCAGATTTTTGCATGATTCCTAACTACCCTCTCTGAACCTTTTCTGTGACTGGCCACTCCTCTGCTCTCCTTCCCTCTCTCCAGCTGCTTCCTTTTGCCCATCCCCACTTTCCTTACCCTGTTACCTCGTCTTGGAGCAGGCTTCAGGTTGCCCATTTCAGTCTGGTTTTGGGGAAAGAGGGTTCCAAATTCTGGTTAGAACATCTCCCAGAGTTCTCAGGGATTAGAGAACTCCAATGAAATGACACTTTAACATTCTGTCATTATCTAGAAACCCAGCAAACTGGATACTAAGCTTTTTTCCAGACCATTAGTTTCCCCAGACAGCTACCATGCCCCTGAAATGACCTTCACCTCAGCTACTATTTCTGATCCAGAAGACTTGGTATGGGCTGCTTTTGTTTTTTGTTTTTCCCTCCCAAGAAGCTGGCTCCTTTTGAGGGCAAGAAAAAATGCGTTATATAGAGCCCTTATGATATTCCTTTCAGGAAATGATGTTTTCTCATTGACACATGGCTGTGTACGTGAGACTTTTTCTGATCTCTGCCTATACTGAGGAGCAATAATGATGGATAGTTAGGAGGTGAGAGGTAGTCACTAATTTGCCATGTTTTTTATTGTTCATTGTTGATGTTGTTAAGTGCCGTCAAGTCGGTTCCACCTCATAGCTACCCCATATAGGGTTTCTGAGGAGCCACTGGTGAGTTTGAACTGCCGACTTTATGGTTCAAACAGAATTTGTTTGTCCAGTACTTACTCTACAGCACCTCACCAGGACTCCATTGTCCATGTTCTTGTTATGTGCCTTTGAGTTGGTACTGACAACAGAAGGAAATATTGCCTGGTCCTGGGCTAACCTCACAATCATTGCTATGTTTCCCCAATCGCATTCTGAGTGCCTTCTAGCCTGAGGGGCTCATTTTCCAGCACTATATCTGACAGTGTTTCACTGCTATTCATAAGGTTTTCAGTGACTAAATATTTGAAAGTAGCCTGTCTCTCCTCCTTCCTAGTCTGTCTTCGTCTGGAAGCTCATCTGAAACCTGTCCACTGTGAATGATCCTACTGGTATTTAAAATACCCACGGCATAGCTTCCAAAATCACAGCAACTCACAAGCCACCACAAACCGACAGACAGTGGTGGTTCATTGTTTACACACAGCAACATAGTACAATAAACTGATAGACGAGTGGTGGTCCATTGTTCCTAGAGAACCAGTATTTTTGAAAGGTTTAAAGATGAGAGATTTGATTTTACAAACATTCTTTTCTCTTTTTTTAAATATATTTTTAAAGACTCTGTGGCACATTATCGTCACCACCATTGACCATTTCAGGAATCTTCACATGTATAGTTTAATGACATTAAATGTGTTCATGATGTTATAAACATTTTTCAGTTTATTGCTGTTTGTGGATATAACTTAAGAGTATGACCTGACTTGACAGTAAAAATTAGTATACTTCTTGTTTTTTATTTTTTGAAATTGTTATTATCAAAGAATTGCATGCTCACTGTAGAATATTTGGAAAGTAGAGGAAGGAATTATCCATAATCTTCCTGTTGTTGTTAAGTACCGTCGAGTATTTGGTTCATAGCTATCCTATGTAAGGTTTCCAAAGTTTTAAGTCTTTGAGGGAGCAAAAAAACCTCATCTTTAGCCCATGGAGTGGCTAGCAGGCTTGAACCTCTTTCCTCTTGGTTCGAAGTACAGTGCTTATTGTATGGATCCACCACATTCCATAATCTTGGAGGTAATTAACCAATTGGCGTATTTCCCTCCAGCTGCTTTATGGTACTTTGTAATTATACAGCTTAGATAGTCTCAGTGTACTTTGAAGTAAGGCAGTCCCTAGATTACAAATACCTGATTTATGTGCAGCCCTTAGTTACAAACCAACCTCTGTAAAGCTTATTATGTGAGGGGGCTTCAAAAAGTTCATAGAAAAATGGAATAGAAAGATAATAGAATTTGTCTGCCAACTTTTGGAAGCCCTTTGTATTACAATTTTTTGGTAGATAGAGTGGTTCATAATCACAAATGGACCACTACTTTGTGACACATCAAAACACTATTATTATTAGTATATTGTTTTATTTTAGTGATGTTTTAGTGGATCTGGAAGTAGTTCTTTAACGTTTTTTGTTCATGAAAAGTACAAAAACACCGATTTATGTGAAGTAGATTTCAACTCGTAATGACCGTATAGACAGAGTAGAACTGCCCCGTAGGGTTTTCAAGTCTAAATCTTAAAAGCAGTCTGCACATCTTTTTTTTTTTTTTCTTTTTACAAAGGGACTGATTGGTTCCAACCACAGACATTTCACTTGGCAGCCGAGTGCTTTAACCACTGTGCAACCAGAATTCATATAGAAAGATACACTAATACACCCTGTACTAGGTCAGATATTTGATGATCTGACATTGCATACAAACCATACCTAACTGTTCTGATTTGCGTACAAATTAGACTTATACGCAGACCTGGAACAGAAGTACGTCGTAATCGGGAGACTGCCCGTATGCTCTTCCCTTCTGATACGTAATTGCTGGGGTTCAGAATTACAGGGTCGTCCTGTAATGGACAATTGATTTTGAATCTTTACACATAGTATAATGCTCAGCTCTTTCTGGCAAGAAAGGTTTTTTAAAGTCATATGTTGAAAAAATATATAGACGTTGTCTCCCTAATTTGTGCGAGAGGGCTTCTAAAAGTTCGTAGGAAAATTCTTTTATCTTTTAATTGTATATCCTGTGAACTTTCGGAAGCCCCCTCATGTAGCTGAAATAGCAATAGTGATCAAATGCAATCTTAATCTAGCTCACATTCAGTTTGCTCTGCACAGATTTATCATTATACTCTCTTCCTCAGGGTAAAGTATCAAAGACCGGAATGTTAGGCAAAAATTTGACACTATACAAAAATAGAGATGACCACATCAGATCACAAAATGGAAGGTGGTTATTTTTACCTGAACCCAAAAACCTACTGCCATCAAGTTGATTTCAACTCCTAGTACCCTGTATAGGGTTTTGTTGTTAAATGCCGTAGAGTCGGTTCCAACCCATAGCAACCCTGTATAGGGTTTCCAAGAAGTGGCTGGTGAGCTTGAACTGCCAAACTTGGGGATCAAACCAACTTTGCAGTCCAGCGCATTAACCCACAGCACCACACCAGGGTACTCCCAATTATAGGGTTTACAATGCTGTAAATCTTTATAGGAGTAGAAAGCTTCATCTTTCTCTTGTGGAGTGGTTGGTGACTTTGAACTGCTGACTTTGTGGGTAGGAGTCCAGTGCTTATCCTACAGTGCCACATGGGTTCTTTTTGCAATTACATCTATGCCAAGTTACAGCATTACATAACTTCCAAACCACTGATAATCAAGGCCCAGCCAAGTTGTCACATAGCCTTAACTATCACAGTGTTACTCTCACCTTATGCTTTGGTGTTCGTTGCTACCAGATCGGTGTTGTTAATGTGAAAAATAGTTGAATAGATTTTTTACTGTGGTCATAAATATGAAATGTTGGATAACAAGACAGTTGGTAAGTGAGGAGAGCGTGGAATTAATAATGGTGAACTGTTATGGGAATCCTCCTTGGGTGGTGCAACATTTCACGTTCTTGGCTGCTGAAGGAAACGTTGGTGGTTCCAGTCTATCCAGAGGTGCTTTGGAAGAAAGGCCTATCTACTTCTGAAAATCTATGGAGTGCAGCTTTACTCTGACACACATGGAATTCACCCGTGATTAATACTAACTGAAGTGAGAAAAGACTTTCCAGCCTTTGCACTCTGCCCTTCTATCCTTTGAGCTTTGCTGCCACCATATAAGTTTCCAGTGTGTAAAACTGTAGGTACAGAGAAATTTGGTGTGTATGGGTCTTAACAAACATTGACAAAGTTATTTCCTAAGATTTTTTCCCCCTAGAATTTGCTTTGATTAACATTACCTTATGCCACCCCCAACATCACCTCTCTCCACAGAAAATCTCGTACATGTTATCGAGTCAACTCTGACTCATAACAACCCTATAGGACAGGAGAACTGCTCCCTAGGATTTCAGAGTTCTTTTTTTTTTTTTTAAACTTTTTATTTTGAATTGAGTGAGGGCTTATAGATAAGATTTTGAGTTTTAC